ATGACAGCGTACAACTACAAAGTGACCTCGTCAGTATAATACTATAGCGCAATACTTAGAATATGACGCTAAATTTTTCTGAATGTAACATTGTCCAGTTTTCTACAAAACGTCTTACTTTAAATACGAAATACTCTCTTGACGGAGAAAGCCACACGATTGTACCAGCTACAAATATTTCGGGGTTTCATACTAAAATGACTTTTCCTGGAATGACCATATTGATTACGTAGCAGCGTAGGCTAGTTGGGTCCTCAACTTCCTAAGGCGAAACTTCAAGCAAGCTCCTCCTAAGTTAAAAGAAATTCTTTATTTTTCAAATGTTCGCACTGTATTACAATATGAATATTCCGCTTGAGACCCCGGTACAAAAACATGTATTGACGAAATAGAGCGCATCAAAAAGCGTGAAGCACGATTTCTGTCATCAAATTATGATGTCAGAAAAAGCTCTTCCGACATACGCGACAATTTTGAAAGGCCGTCTTGGCAGGACAGGCGGAAATACATGCGGCTGCAACTGTTCCACAAAATTATTATAGGTGCAACAGGCTTAAGGAGAGAAACCTACATACTTGATCCTACCTATAGATCTGCCCGCGTAGACCATTCCCTGAAAGTTGGGGAATATAGGTGTCGGATCAACCTATATAAACATACTTTTTTTCCGAGGACAGCCCATGACTGGAATTGTCTCCCGAATGAAGTTGTACTGTCGTTGCCGACTTCTTTTGAAGAAGCCCTCGCAGAATTTTTAAATAGGTTTTGCACGACATATGTGGGATATTTCGAGCTTTAGCTCACCATTTACAGCTTCTATCAAGTTGTGTTTTCTACTCTGTCTTTCTTATGAGGATATGTATCTATAAAGTTAATTTATGTTTAAAAGTTTACTTTAATATTATGTTTTGTTGCTTTTTGTATCAACCTCTCAGTAACGTGATGTTAAGTCTTTTTATAATGTTATTTATGTTTACAGTGCTGATGTTATCTTTATTCTTACATAATATTTGTGGCCTTTTATGTTGTATATACTACCTTTATCTTTTTCTCTTTGTTTCCTCCTACAAAAATGCCCAGTTGGGTGCTGTAGGTATTTGAATAAATGAAGGAATAAATAAATAAATAAAATCGGGAGAAGAAGAAAGTTGCGCCAGCGTGCGTAGGGTGTTTTCGCTATGTCAGCGAATGTTTTGTCCTTAGTGACAAAGCAGGAGATGAAGACAGTTTTCACCCGTGTGCGTAGGCAGGAGATGAAGAAAATTTTGCGTAAGTGTGGGCAGGGTCATTCTGCCGTGTCGGCGGAAGCTTCTGTCTTCAGTGACAAAGCGGGTGATGAAGAAAGTTTCCACCTGAGGGGTGAAGACTTGTGCTACAAGCAGAAGCGTGTGTCTACTGCCAGCGAGTGAAGACGCGTTGCTGCAGCTGCGCGTGGGAAGCCGACGTGTTACCGGCGAGAAAGTCTGGTGCTTGGAGAACGGCCAATTGAAGACGCGAGGTTTTCTGGAAGAGAACCTTCAGGGGCAGCGGATCGACAAAACTGCTGGACGTTGAGTGAGACTTTCTTAGGAAAGAAACATTCACGCTTTGTTCCGAAGACATTGGACTGAATAAGTTTTTGAACTCTTTAGTCCTTAAGTGTCTTGGTTACTTGATGCATGTGTTTGCATTGTTGTGCGTATTGTTGTTTGCGTCCGCTGTTTCGAGTGTAGCTGATTGTACTGTATAGTACGTTGTTTGATTGGTGATATATCGTATTCAACTATTGTCGAAAGTGCATAATTGTGTATCATTCGATCTGCCATATTTGAGAATAGAATTTTGTTTTGTTTATCAACTCTCGGCTCGGACTTGTTCTTTGGGCCACAGTCAGCGTCCGCTGGCACGCCGAATAGGACCGCTTCTATATTGTCCGAGCTTCCGTGGTGCAGTTCAAGAGGCCGATACTTCGGCCCTTGGAATTAGCCCGGCGATCACCTCTCTAATTATTGGAACCTGCGACACCAGGAAGCAGAGGTCCAGACCACCTTAAACAATCCTAATGGCAATCCAGCCCCGGGCTCGGGTGGCATTACAAACAAGGCACTACGCAACTTAGACAATAACTTTGTTACTATCATCACCAAATAAATCAATCGTATTTGGGAGACGCGGATTTTCCCGGAGCATAGGAAAATAGCGATGGTTATGCTCATACCTAAACCTGACTGGAGTCCGAGTCTTAGCAACTTACGACCCATTTCCCTGACGTTTTGTATAGGCAAGGTCGCCGAGTATGCAGTCAACCATTTAACGATCCAATATCGAAGCACATAGAGAAGACTAACCTGTTCCCGTACAACAAGATAGGTTTGAGATCACACCATCTACTCAAGATGTCATGAAAATGCTGGAGCACCACATCATAGATCAGGATACGAAAGACGTTAGAGCCATTCTCAGACTGGACCTTGAAAATGCCTTTTACAAAGTCTCGCACTCCCGCATACTTGCCTCCAACTCTTCTCTCAACTTAGGAGCAACTTTCACAATTTCACCAGCTCGTTCTTCAGGAATAAAAAAGCCACTATACAGCTAGAGGATGTCAAGTCTAAGCCCTATGATCTCGGTTCCTTCGGCACCCCATAGGGCTCAGCCGCTCAGTCGTCTCCCCACTGCTGTTTAACATTGCAGTGTGCGGCCTTGCTGCCAAGCTCTCAAACCAAGAAGGCATCGAATTCCCCATCTACGCGGACGACATCAGCATATGGAGTGTCGATGGCTCGCAGGGCTCTGTGGAGAGCTCTCTTCAAGAGGCCGTCGACTGTGTTGAAGTCGACATAAAGAAAATGGGCCTCAAGGTTTCGCCGTCAAAGTCCGAACTTCTCTTATATCGAGCCACGAGACGGGGACCGAGACCCGAAAATGGCAACCACTGGCCGACATCGATATTAGGCTGCACACGGCATTGGGGCAGGATATTCCAAGGGTGGACTTTATACGCGTTCTGGGCATGATTATTGAGGCTAATGAACAGAACGGCCACATGATCGACCATCTAACTTCAAAAGCGGAAGGGGTCATATAACTAATCTCACGCATTTCCAACAGTCGGGGTGGTCTTCGAGAGGACAACCTGCTCAGACTGTTCCATGCATTCTTGATGAGCCACATAAGCTATGTCGCATCTATGCACGGGTGGCAACTTCATGAGATAAATAAATTGAACATCCCCTTAACAAAAAGCATCAAGAAAGTTATTGGCAATCCTATGCGCACAAGCACTGAGAACCTTATGAAACTTGAAGTTCACAACACGCTTGAAGAAGTTATCGAGGCTCAAAAACCGGCACTGGTTGCCAGGCTTTCGATCACAGCAGTGGGGAGAAAGATTATGGTTGACACTGGAGTCAATCCCCTGACGCTCGATGTGCAAAATACGCCACTTGATGATTATGTAGCCTCTCGCATCAAAGTGTGTCCCCTTCCAGGAATCATGCATCCACAGTACAACGTGGGCAGGCGTGTCACTCGAGCCTCCTCTCTTTTAGCTCAAGCTCACAACCACTCGTCTGTTTCATGCTTTGTTGATGCCGCCCAGTACGGCGTTTCCGCTCACTTTTAAGTAGTATCCGTAGATACTAAGAGTCAGATTTTATGCTCGGCGTTGGTTCGAGCCACTTCTTACAATGCAGAACAGATGGTCATTGCACTAGCTCTCCTTGATAAACAATGGACTGATATTTATACGGGATTTAAATCTGCTGCTAGGGCCTTCGCTTCTAGTTCCGTGTGCGAGAAAGTTTTCAGAACTCTCGCTCAGAAGGAACTCACCCACCATACTATTATTTTTTCCCTGATCAGCTTTGCTTGAAGCTCGGGAGCCTTCCTAATGTCAACGAGCTAGCCCACTGTAAGGCACGAGGCTTCACTTACCGCACCGGGACTTGTGCTTCTGAGACAGAGTAATCAGCCCCCAACCTTCATTTTAGGGACATTTTGACTAACTTTAACGAGATCACGAAGCACTATCAATTAGGCCGTAGGTAATTTACATTGCAGCACAAAAAGTTGTCTAGGCCATAGGCAATCTCTCTTCGCATGCTTCAGACGGTAACATATCCTAGCCTCGTAACCTATAGCCATTACTCCGATATTTCAGAACTTTGTCCGGACTGCCACAATCGCAGTGATATTAACGACAATCTGCGGAGGTGCCCCTCTTTACAAGAAAAAAATGAAGAATTTTCTGAAATTTCCTTCATTTAATGCTCACGAGTTCGGTTCTCATACAACTCAAGGCTGTCCAGAAGGCCCACAATGTGGCGGTCAGGCTTGGCCCCCCCGTCCTCACGTGAGAGCGGCCTGCGATCCTACCTCTATAAAGCGGGAATAGAATTCTTCTGGACCACAATAAAGTTTTTCATCCATCTACTCATCCATCCGTCCATCTATCTCTTTCCTTGGGCTGTTATGTTCGCCTCGTTGTTTGGCGCAAGACGCAAATACTGTCGTCGGTGGCGAGAATATATCATAGACGATAGTCTTTCTTGGGGAGCTTCGACGCAGAAAGCCGATCCATTTTATGGGAATTCGGAAATTCAAAGATTTTTTTTAAAAAAGTTTTACAAACTTTTCGAACTTTATATTCGGCAGTGCTTTAGTGAAATTCCGAGAGGGTCAAGAATATATAAATTTTATTTTCCTAGGTTCAGTATAACTAAAGAGATGAGAGTTTTTTTTATCCAATGTATTTGGCCCATAGAACCAACGTTTTCCGGTGGTAAATCAAATCCAACTCAATCATTAAAACTAACGAACATCCATTAAAATACAACCAATTATTGCGTTCTATATCATAAAATTAACATAATAAGAAAAAATCATTGAGTATTTCGCAATATTTACGCTCCAATGAGGTTTTGAAAAACCAACCACCAGAGAAGCCGTCATTAAGGGCAACCTTCAGTGACTACGATTCGAACATGGCAAAATCTTCGCAATTAAAAGCATCTCCGCACCTGAAAACCAGCCTGGATCCTCCCTCAGATATTTCGAGCCTTGAGAGTGAGTTCTGAACCTGGAGTCCACGAAGGGAAACCTTGTATCACTGAAAACAAGCTGTATTCACCACATGTTTTTCTTACTATGGGAGCTGCCATCTGGAGTGGGGATGCTATCTAGACCCCCCTGGTGGTTAGAAAATCTTTCGAGTAGGGTAACCGCATCAATAAAAGAAAAAACTACTAATTATTCGCACAATGGAAAGCTTTAAAGCTCCCAAGCACATTTAGCAGGATTCAAGGCGCGAAAAATATAACAAAAGAACCCCCTTTTCGGCTAAACCCCGCATGGGAGCCGCCATCTTGTGTGGGGCATAGCACACTGAGAACCGGGAATTATATCTCGGCTTCCCCACCTTTCAGGAGTATAAGAATAGTGTCCCACAGTCCGTTGGATTTATAGGCAGTCTCAGAAATACCCAGATCATCTAATTATATCGAGGGAAAAAAAGGCAAAGCGATTTTTATTGGAAGAAAGTACAGTGTTGCCAATTGATTAGTTTTTCCCAAGTTAAATTTGGCGTTGTCCAAAATTTCACAAAGCAAGATCAAACAAGACGCACATTATTGAATTCTCGTTCTTGCGGGACACACACGGAAGCAATCATTTAGAGTTGTATTTTTGTAGTAGCGCCTGAATACCGTAATAATAGGAAAGAAGAAGAAAAATACAGTAACAAAAGAAAAATTTATCTCGCAGAATTCCTGGCTACTACATTGGCTCTTCGAAAACTAAATTATCAGCAATCGAAAGCTATTATTATTTGGGGTGCTTTGTCTGTATGTACATATCTCACGTCCGCAAAGAAGTCTGCTCTTCTCAGGATATTTTGGTCTCTCGTACCGCATAGCTTATCAGAAGTTCGGTTTATTTGGATCCCCGGGCATGCTGGAATTCAACTAAATGAAATTGCTGATTCGCTCGCTTCGGCATCTTTAAATTTCCCGGTGGGGCTAGTAGCTCCATAGTTTCCTTTTATTACTGCCGAACGATTCAAACGCCTGTTAATCTTAAAAATCAACGAAACATCGCTTCTTTAATCTGAAGAATTTCGGCACTTGCAATTCAAGTGGAACACCGCAAAACGCCTTTCCCGTCAATGTGAGGTGACCGTCACAAGCTTTCGCAGTAGAGTTCCTCTGTTAAACTTTTATCTCAACAAATCAGGATTTTCATTAACTAACCTATGTGTATTTTGCAATGAACCGGAAACAATAGATCACTTTCTTCTCACATGCCGCCGATTCGACTCACTGCGCCGAATAATTCTTGAAAGACCGATTGGTATGCTCAGATTGCCAGTCAATACATCCACCCTATTATCGTTCGGAGCCAGTTAGTTGGGTGTGGGCAGCAGTGCTATTCTGTCAGCGCTACATAAATTCATTCAGGCAACCGGAAGGATACGCTGCTAGTGGTACTGCCAGATATATCCAATTCTTTCTCCCCCTTCCTCATTCTTTTTAATTTGTTTTATATATTCTGGTTTATCGCATTCTTCTGAAATTTTTCACGTTTTTTCAAAGGAACATTATTATTGTTCCATTCTAATTTTTTTTAGCAAGCGTAGTAAAAAATGATATATTATGAGGTACAGTGTGGCCGATCTCCCATGTTGGTATGAGCCAAGATCTCCTAGGCGACAAGACAAGACAAGAAATGCTGAGAAGCAGCCCAGGAGGCAAAACGAAGACAAATAGCAAGCATTCAATCGGAAAAAGAGGCTAGGATGCCGGTACAGAGAAAGATGGCCAGACACTAGCCTTGGTAGAAGATCAGAGCCGGAAAAAAGACTATGAAGACGATTGGTGGTCGTCAGACGAAGACACTACAGAAACTTGGGGAAACCTTACAAATGATACGGAACCCAACGGGAAAACCCGGACAAACAAAAAAAAGAAAAAAGAGTCACAGGTTTTATAGGTGAAACTAGGGAATCACAGTCCCAGCGGGATTCGATGCAGGAGAGGACAGACTATAAAGGACACAAAAAAGACAAAGAAGACAGAGGAATAGAACAAGATCCCACAAGGAAGAGTTCATTAGCAAAACAAATTATAAAAAACTGACAAAATTTGGCAAATTCTTGATGAAGGCCCTCTTGGCATTGGCCGCTGGAGAGCAAGGAAAAGACCAGCTATTGGACAGCATCCTTAGAGACTTCTCTAGGTTAAAAAACCTGGCCTTGGAAGCTACTCATGAGGTAGCAAGATTATAAGGGAACCAAGAAAAGAAGCAAAACACAAGCGCAACGGGCCCATGATATGCAGAGCTCCTCACAGGAAAGTCCAGTAGAGCAAGGGAGGGTAACCAAACTCCCGATGCTCCCCAAAGCGAGAATAGGCAGAAAAAAATCAAGTAACTAAAGTTGCCCTCTTAGTATCATCGGATACTTTATATTTGGGTGAAGTACAGACTGTAATAAAGAAACGGGTCGGCCCACAGGAGATCGGGTTAACCGACCCAGAGGTCCGTGTTGGGAAGCAAGGAGTGGTGGTAACTACTCCCACTAAAGAAGGACTGAAAAACCTTAAGAAATTTATTGGACACGACCCCGAACTACGAACCAAAGTGAAGACCCAGAGACCAAGAAATAAAATACCGGAATGGAAGATCATTGAGGCAGACGAAGAACACACATCTCAAGAAATAATACATAAACTCATTTTCCAGAACGGATTGACCTGCAGAGAAGACTTAAAAATGGTAACCTCATGGAAGGGAAACGTTGGTAAAACGATCATCTTAAGTTTGGAAAAGGAAGCTTGTGAACAACTACAACACAAGCAGTGGGTAAACACAGGGTGGAACAGATGTCGGATGTTCGACAATACGTTTTTACCTAGGTGCACTTACGGCACAAAATACGGACACACCCAGAAATGGTGTCAAGCTAGAACACCCCGATGTACCGAATGTAACGGCAGCCACCATTACGAAATCTGCACGTCTGAAGAGTATAAGTGTAATGCTTGCCAACAGGAAGGATGCAAACCCGAAAAGATAAACCCCTCATGACGTTAAATAACTGCCCTGCGTACCAGGTCAGAGGGGAGCGAGAACTCTATAGAATTGTTCACCAATTAGAATTACACTTAAGAAAACACTAAGCAGCCAGGGAAGTTTCCTCATTTTAACTCAGTTTATCAGGTCGCCTTTCTCGCTCTTCAAAATAAAAATGGCCAGCACAAAATCAAAGACATTGGAAAAGTTGGAAATCATACAGATAAACTTAGCAAGATCTTTTAAAACCAACCAAAACTTGAGTAATTTTCAACAGCAAAAAAGCATCATATTTCGTTATTTCAAGAACCATACCCTCTGAAAGGAAACATTATCCCGTTTTCGATAAAAGACAAAATCATAGCACATAACGACAATCCAAAAGTCGGTATAACTTTCCATTCAAACTTAATATATTTCCAATACAGATAGAACAAGATGTGGTCACAGGCTTATTAAATTTCAAGAACAAACAACTTCTCGTAACTAATTTCTAAGCTCCACCCAAAAGTAATGTAGAGAAATTATTAATTAAAATAGATAATATTCAAAAAGCAAATAAAGAGAATGTGTTAATAGCAGGGGATTTTAATGCGGAAAGCCATAGCTGGGAAGGGGACAAATTAGATGATAGAAGGGAATTAGTAATAGAGTTTTTTTGTAAAAAATAACTTAACTATTTTAAACAATAAGAAAAGTGAACCTACATTTAAAAACTCAAGGTGCAAAAGTTAGATTGACTTATCCATCAGTTCAGACACCCTAACTAGGGAAATTAAAAAGTGGAAAGTAATAAACGAACCATCTTATAGTGATCATAAGCTCATTAAAATAGAAATATTTGAAGAGGTGAAAAAACATTAGTTTATAATAACTAAAACAGGCAAACAAAAAGCGATAACAGATCTATAAAACAATAACTGGGAAGAGGAATCACAAGCCCTCAATAAAGCACAAGACATTGAACAGTTAACACATAAATTTTATCAAACACTACAAAATTTATACAAAAATATGAAAAACGTATTACAAAGAAAAAGAAGCAGGAGAAAAGCTGGTGGAACTTGGAATCGGAAATTCAAAGGAAAAAAGTAAGGGCGATGAAAAGGCGGTTCAAAAGAAGTCGACGAGATATAAGAGAAATTTTCAAACAAAAGTATTACCAAGAACATAAACTATATCTAGAAAACATAGCCTTAGCCAAAAAGAAGGATTGGGATAATCTCATAGCGAAAGCAACCAACAATCCTTTTAACATAGGATATAAATTAGCTCGGAATCAAATTAAAAACCAGTAACCATAAAAAGTTTGTTAAAGGAGGACCAGACAGCAACAAATTCTTTTGAAGCTACAATGTAATATATCTTAAGCAAACTATATAAAATATCACGAGATAACGAAGTCAACTATAAAAATTCTGAAGAATTAGAAATGAACAACGACCCCGGGGACGATGTGGAATTCACCCAGCAGGAGGTGGAGACAATTGTAAGAAATTCGAAGAAAGGCGTCTCCCCAGGGCCGGATAATCTAACAACAAAATTTATTCAAACATTACATAAAAGACGAAAACATCCTTTGTAAATCTCTTTAACAGTTGTTTAAAGATAGGATATTTCCCGAAAAATAGAAAGGTATCAAAAATAATAATTATTCCTAAAAATAAAGACCTGAGTAACCCATCGGACTATAGACCAATAGCAATAAATTCAATATTCGGGAAAATTCTAGAAAAGCTCCTCAAAAATCGACTATATTATATTTTAAATAAAAGAGAGCAATTGCCTAAAAATCAGTATGACTTCAAACATGGGACCTCAACAACCCAGGCATTAGAGAACATAAAGAAGAAATAGGACCAAGCACTTCTGGCCAAAGAAGTAACACTGATATTATCTATGGACATCAAAAATGCATTCAGTACTATCGATAAAAGAGAAATTATGACATATTTGGAGAAAAGTAGCTGCCCAAAAAATTTATTAAAATTAACCAATGCAATAGTGACAAATAGACAAATCGCCTACAAGAA